AGGGAGAGAATCGCCTGCCCGGGACTTGGACGGGCGCAAGAAGTGCGCGCGTGTTAACGGCTCCCCTGTGCAAAGCAGAATCCGTTTTAGACAAACTGCCCGAACGAGAGAACGGGGGAAGCGCGCGAGGGTTTCCTGTTCACCGCGCGCTTGAACGCAAGGAAAAGACGCGGAGGATAAACCCACACCCACCTACTGAATTCAGCAGAGCTTAGTAGACGTGGCTAGGATGGCCTGTAAACGCGACCCCTCCATTTCTTTCTGCCAGACAACTGCTCACTTTAAATTTCTCGCCTCCCCAAAGCGGCCTGGTTCACAGTTGCAATTGCAAAGCCATTTGATTTTTCTTGGGGTAAAAGTGTGGCGAAGGTGGCTGTTGTTGTTTTAAAAACAAGGACAACTACGCCCTGATTTCCCTACAAAAAACACACCCATGTGGCTATTTTTTTGTAGGTGGACGGCACAGCTATAGGGGAACACGGAATGCGTAAATATTGCGCGCCTTGTCTCCCGCCTCGGAGCCACTTCTCCGCTCCAGCAGCAGCAGCGAACACCCAAGAGACGCCTGCATCGCAGAGGGTTGGACTATATGGCCCTCCTGGTCCCTTCCAACTCTATAAGGGCCCTCGTGATGCTCCGAAGAGGGTTCAGGGCCCCGGGAAAAGACTCCCGGCGACCCTGACTCTCCCGCACACACCCTTTCTTCCTCGGCGGGCAGAGGAAGGAGTCGGGTCCCGAGGAGAAGGCTCCCCTTCGCCTTCAAGGGACCCCTTCAAAATGCACCCCGCTCCTACCCGAGACAGCTCTGCTCCCTGTCGCAAAGAGGAAAGCTCTAAGCAGGAAGCGGTGTCTCCCCACCCATTCGGGCCCGATTTCCACGCCACATCGGATGGCAGGGGGAGAGAGTAGAAGCCCGCCCATGTGGAAGGGAGCAGCGAGCCAAAGCGGAGGAGTTGAGGAACTTCAACCTGCATTCCGCCTGTTAGCTAGGGGTGATGGGAGTTGTAGTCCAGTAACTGCTGGGGAGTCAGGGTTGAGAAACATTGGAACCCGTTGATACCCAGCCTGGTGAAATCCCGCAGGCTGCCCTTCCCAAGGATAATACGGGCCTGGCTAGTTTTACGGAGGGCCCTCGGGAAGGATGAGTTGCTATTTCGCCCCTTTTCGCCGCGACGCTGTACCTATAAAGGCTACCAGGCTAAGCGCGCTTCCTTGGAAGTCAGTCCCACAAGCGCACTGACTTCCTAGGGGTTAGACCCCAAAAGAGGACGAGAGGGCGCGACATGGGAGAAATCTGAATTTGAGCTCGCCTGCAGCCAGACCCCGAGGCAGGCCTCTGGCCGAGCAGCTCCACGCCAGGAGCAGGGAACTCGGGGCCAACGCCGTTGCCCGTTGGAGAGCGCGCCCCAAATGCTCGCCAAGGTCTGCGCCCTTTCCGCGACAGAAGCATTATTTCCCCGGGTAAGATGCTCAGGATGCAGCTCGAGGTCCTGCCCTCGGCGCTTTTCTCTTTCTCAGGAGTCCTGTGCACGCACTTGCGGGATTTCTTTAGCTCTTCCGGCAACTTCTGGCGTCAAAGGAGCGGGGCAGGCGAGGGAGGTTTGGCTACGGATGGAGCCAAGAAGGGACCCCGCAGCTTCAATGGCTTGCTGGTGCGACGGCCGATTTCACACGTGCGGATGAAAGGCAGGCCGACTCGGAAGTCCGTCCCGCTGTCTCCAAATGGGTTTTGTTTTCAAGGAAGCGGATACATGACTCCTCGGGCCTAAACTGCAAAGGAATAGATCCGGGCTTCCTCGGAAGGTGCTTAGAACCTGGGCGAAATGCTTTAGAAACCGGTTAGAGCTAGCAAGCCTTTACTTCTGGGCTGAGCGTGGGCTCCAATAGCCCGAGATAAAGTGGTTTGGAGAGGTCAACGAGCAACTCCAGTCCAATGCAGAAAACCCTTAACGCATCCATGGGCGTAACCAGGATTGGGGGGCAGGCTTTTGTTAGGGGGGGGGCAGAACCTCAGATTTGTATTGATTTTTATTGATTAAGGGGGCAGCTGCCCCCTGCCCCCCTTTGCTACGCCCATGAACGCATCTTTCTTCCTCGACAAGCTGGGGAAAAGGGGAGACTTAACTTCTGAGTTCGTGTTTCAAGGCTGCACTACCAAAGCAGTCTTAATCGGATGATGTCCTTTGGCTTGAGTGATTGAGGGCTCTCTTCGATCGTGTTTCCGATCCACGACGTATTTACTCACCAGTAAACCCAGCCGACTTGCTCCTAGCCCTAAACCGCTGTAAAACAGACTGGCTATAAATTGGTGGTCCCGAGAAATTTCGGGACGATTTTGATACGTGCGCAATTCTGATCAAATGTGAGCCGATATGTCTTGGATCGGAATCGAAGAGAGCGTGGCGATCCTAAATCCAGTGAATAACATCGGGATGCGTCTGCATTGTGAAGGCAGCTTGTTGCGGCCCTGTTTTTCTTGTATTATACTGGAATAGCTCGTTTGATTTCCTAGGCAAAGTGAGAGTCTGGGTCCGAAGGAAACGGGCGCTTTTTCGCCCTGCGTGAATTCTGCATAGGCCGGCGGAGACCGGGGGTGGGAAGGGGGGGGGTCTACAGCGTCGATCCTCGCTCGGCTCCTACAGTTCGCAATCCGGAGCGAATTATTTCACGTGAAGCTGGACTCCTAAATAATCAGGCTTTGGCTAGCAGCTCGAAGCAAAGTCCAAAAGCTTTTAGTAAAAAAAGCTTCGGGGAAATTGCATGAGATGCAACAGCCACCAACAAAGCAACCAACCAACCAAACAACGGGCACACTCTAGTCCAAGCCGAGCAATTGTGAGTCCCATTGCCTCCATTGCAATGAATGAGACGGGAAGCCTTTGAACGCCGGCTGGATCTCGCAGACCAAGTCTCCCACATCCCTAAGAACGGGCTGCAACCTCCAGCCTATGGGGAGTCAGGCCCCGTCGGAAGGATGGGGGAGAAAAGGTGCACCTGAGAATCTGTACCTGGTGCAAAGGTTTCAAGCAAAGGGGGTCCCGCTAAGTACTACGGGACTTGCTTCGGAGTAAGCCTGCCTAGCACGCCTCCCTACGGAGCCCCTGGGTGTGGCTGGCCCAACACTTGTTCCCAGACTGGCCCAGCAATTTTCCCCAAGACTCATTCCTGGAGACAGACTTAAGCAGTTGCTGTTGTTATTTATGGATCCCAATATTATAAAAATTATGCAAGGCCCTCTTTCTTTCGGAAAGATGCGCAACCTGCTACCTCCCCCGCCCCGCGCGCCCCCCACAACAGATGAGGAGGGGAGCCTGGGTCTCGGCTGTACAACTCCAAACTGCAGGAGGGGCCCTACGTGACTGACTGTTCCTCTTTTATAAAATAACTTTTACCATCCCTAGAGAACTAGGAGAATTCCCTGCGGAAGGAGTAATCAATCCGGTGGCATTCTGAAGCCCAGCACAGTTTAGCTATTGTCTATGAGAATTAGGCCTTGATTCTCTGGTAGGGCTTTGTGGTGTTTAAACGTGTTTGACCCGTGAGGGACCGAAGGATAAAAGGAGCTTAATGCAGAAGGATTCCTAGATGACGCTACTTTCAGTTATCTTTAAAACGAGTGTCTGTATTTAAGCTTAAAATAAACCAGACTTCCAAGTATCTTCTTGGCTCAGACATCGGCATCACCGGCTTGTTCTTCTGCAGTTATGGAAGGACCCATAACTTCCAGAGCTAACTCTTCCAACCAGGGGGTGGGGGAACTGAAAAGCATTTATACTATTATATTGTGCATTTTATACAGACGCCCTTAAAACGCACACGCACAACAGAAATCTGTGCTCTTTCTGAACTGAAAATAATCACAGCAGTGACGCTGGTAAGTTTGGAACAACCCGGACTGCGGAAAATTAAAATCCAAATCGCAGAAACCTCTCCGGGAGGGAAGACGCCGGCTGGGGATTGTGGGGGGTCGCAGTTTTGTTTGCGTGCGCGTCTCTGTGTTGGAAAGTCGCTTAGAGAATTAGACGCGAGGGCTAGAGGCTTTGATCGACGGGCGGCTCAACAACCCACGCCTGCTTTCTCAGAAGCCGATGCTGACATCAACAGGACCTCTTCTCCAAAAAAAAGTGTCCGCAAGATTTCAGCTCCGGAGCAGGTCTAGGGAGTTCTCCTGAGTAAGTAAGCCCCGTGGAAACGGCGCGCGTCTGCCCTGCTGTTCGTTTCAACAAGACTAGCGCAGCTGAACTTTTTGGTGGATCCTGCGCGGAGCAGCGACGCTTTTCCCCCTGCTATCCTACGATGGCAGCAGAGATGCTCGCAGAGATACACCACCTAGACACAGCTCAACCGGAGGCCTCGCCAGCTCCCGGGACCCGCTTCCCGGTCTCTGGCAGTGCTCGCTCCCTTTGCCGGACGCAACTCATTAACCCGGGCATCCGAAGACGACCCGCCTCAACCGCGCGTGTTGACCTTCCCTGCTCTTTACACAAAATGTAGTAAAAGGAGGCGGTGGGGATTCTAATTTGCGCCGGCAATTCGTCTACGGGAGGCTGATAATATGAATTAAACTGATCTGGATTAGTGGGTCCGGAACAAAGCAGAGTAGGACCGATTCGACAAATGTTAAACTTGGTTCTGGGTGTGATGCGACCATGCCTTGACTACTGGCACAGATCTTCCCCTGCATTAACATACATTATTCCTCCGCCGTGTGTTTTACTTATTATTTTACCCATGTTTATCTTTGCACATGACTCTCAGAAACCGAGAGCCCACGGGGTTGTTTTTTTAAAAAGCGCTGGGTGTGTTTAGAAGGCGCCTAAGTCTTCTAAACTAGCCCCCTTGAACGGGGCTATTTCACACCCGTCCTAGTTCCCCACTCCGGCTTTACTCTCCGGGAAGGCGAGGGCGGACCCTTCAGAAAAGACCAGTCCAAGTCTCGGCGACTCGCAAGTCGAGAGCCTGGGCAGGAGGAAGCCGCTGCTTCGCGGCGCGCCACTTACCGTCCTGCTGCTGCGTGTCGCTGCCGCTGGTCAGGCCCGGCGATTCCAGGAGGCTGCGGCCGCTCTCCCCGACGCCCTCGTCGGTCTGCGCTGCCACCAAGTCTCCGGCTTCCTCCAGATCCAACAGGTGGCTGACAGAGAAGTTCTTTTTCGCCTGGAGGCTGTCGAGGTTCCCGGGGCTCTCCAGACGCGTGGGCAGGACGGCCGGTTGCCTCTCCAGAACGTGCACGTAGCTGGAAGTCATGGCTTTGGGCCCCCAGGCCAAAGACGGGGTGGGGTGGGGTGGGGAGAGAAAGGAGGAAGGGAGCCAAGGAAGAAGAGCAGAGCCTGAAGGGGGTCCCCGGCTACGCACGTTCCCCCAAACCCCGCAGCAGCTGCCGCCTGTTCTCCGAAGTGCCGTCGAGTAAAACTCCAGAGGGGAAAATCCACACCAAGCGCGCAAAGCGGCCCAAACCCGGGAGGCGACAGGACCTGGCCGGGGATCCAAAGGGTGCCTTCTCTTGCTGAATCGCAGGGCGCCTCCAATGGGACTGCCGGTGGCTCTCGCGATCCTCCCGCGTCTCCCTGACTGGGCGCGCTCCTTCGACGGCGCGCTTAGCAGTGAAGGCGGGCCGTCGGGAGGGGCTGAGGTCTTGCAGATGGAGTGCTCCGACCGGCCGACAGACGGACGCAGGAGCTCCACTCCAGATCCCCTCTCTCTCTGCTGCCTGCCTGGTGAAGGAAGGGGAGGAGGAGGAGGCTGGTTGGGAAGCTCGAGCGGGTTTCTTTTTCGCTTGCTGCGCAGCCGCCCCTCCCTCTCCCGATCGAGCGGCTCTCTGGCACTTCAAAAGGCTCCGCCTGGCATGTGGGTGGGTGGGGCTGGGGGAGCTGGAGGGACCCTGGGGAGGGCAGACCCAGACTTAATAGGAGCCTCTAATTACGTGGCAAAGGCTTTGTGCTGTTTCTGACGTTTTACAGACCTCCTTCCTCCACCCACCCCGGGCAGGCTCTCTCTCTCTCCCCCCCCCCACACCCCCACTTTCCCCTACCAATCCAGACTCACCAAACCCACACTCGGATTTAGAGACCCACTTCCCCACCCGCTCGCAAGCATCTGATCCCAGAGAGCGCACGCGAGAGGCTTTTTCTTCAATAAAGATTGAAGCTTTGCGCGCGCCCCCCTCCAAACGTCGGGTCGAAAGTTGGGAAGCCCAGGCGGACGCAGGCGGTGACTCCCAACACGGTCTGCTTATTTGTTTTTCCAATTAACTGCTGCGGATTAGTTTAAGGTCCTGCTGGAGAATCTCATTTGCATGGGGGGGGAGGTTGCAGAAGCACTTTAGGAAACGGGGCACGTCCAGCCTCATCAGCTCAGCTTCTGCTGAACGTTACCAAACCAAAAAAGAAGTTTCCTGCAGTTGCAACAGTTCTGGTTCAGACGCGCACATCATATGTATTATTCCTATTGCTGTGCATCAATTTGAATAAAACACGGCTGATTAAGCTCTCTGTCCATCACTTGGTCACTCAGCAATCGATGAATGAACCAGCTCCAAGGGACAATCTTGTGCTCGTTAGGAAAGCTTTATGGTGGGATTGTTGCACCCGCAATGGTTCATTGACATATGCAAGCCTCACTAGATGATGATGATCCACCAGCCAGGTCTTGTGTTTGTTTGCTTTGCATATTTTCTTCTTGCTGCTTCTATATTTCAGCATGCACATATTTCAATAGTTACATAAGGTAGACAATAAAGTTCAGTATATTTATTTATGCTGCGTTTATGATTTAGGTGGGGGGGGCTGGTGTCAGAGAGAGAAGGGTAGCCACACTACAGCTCCTGTGCTTCTCCAAAGGGTTGGCCAGGAGTGGATGCAGTCTTTGGGATCAGAAAGAGGTAGCCGCCTCCAAATTAAGAGAATCAGCATGAGCATTTTAAAGCCCTGTAAATATCAGTGGGAGGGTGAAGTGTGCTTTAAATCTCCCATGGAAACCAATTGGACATCACCATTCTTAACCATTGCTGGATCAACCATAAAAAAACCCTATTTTTCTGTCCACCTAGAAAGCTAAGAGGCAATGGACAACCTATTTAAGGCTCGCTGTTTCCAGTATGAGAAAGTGAAGGAAATGGTTAACTCGGGCTTCCTCAATCTCGGCCCTCCAGGTCTTTTTGGCCTATAACACCCATGATCCCTAGCTAGCAGGACCAGTGCTCAGGGATGATGGGAATTGTAGTCTCAAAACATCTGGAGGGCCAAGGTTGAGGAAGCCTGGTTTAACTCTTCCATTAGAATCAACGGAAGTAAAAATCTCCCAACTTTGGCTGGATCATAAGCTGATGCGAGATACCATTTCAGGCACTGTGATTTCCTAGCTGTTTGACTTCACCTCCAAAGGCACACTCCATTGTCTGCAAAGACAGACATCCATGTGTGGTGTGTGTGAATTTTCTCTCACTGCTTTGAACACGTACAATATATAAATGCAAATATACATCGTGCATGCACCTTACACAATACAACATTGCATGATGGCTTGCTTACTACTTCTTCCTTCTCAGGAGACCTTCAGAGGGAAAACTTGGGAAGGTTTGCTCAGGAGTGAGGAGCAGATGGCCCTTCAGATGTTGTCGTATTCATCAGCCCAGTCAGCGTGGCCAAAGGCCAGGGGCGGCGGGGATGTAGTTAACCACTCCTGATCTAGACCATGGGTAGGCAACCTAAGGCCCGGGGGCTGGATCTGGCCCAATTGCCTTCTAAATCCAGCCCATGGACAGTCCAGGAATCAGCGTGTTTTTTCATGAGTAGAATGTGTCCTTTTATTTAAAATGCATCTCTGGGTTATTTGTGGGGCCTGCCTGGTGTTTTGACATGAGTAGAATGTGTGCTTTTATTTAAAATGCATCTCTGGGTTATTTGTGGGGCATAGGAATTCTTTTCTTTCTTTCTTCCAAAATATAGTCCTGCCCCCCACAAGGTCTGAGGGACAGTGGACCGGCCTCCTGCTGAAAAAGTTTGCTGACCCCTGATAGACATTTGCCCAAAGCCATTCAAAGAGCTCAGCCTCAGTAATACAAGCTAAAAGAAGTCACTAAAACAAAACAAAGACATTTGCACAGTTTGAGGAAACTGTTTATCAAAGAAAACTTCATAAATGAGACACGTTTTTCTGCTGTGGAAATCCAAAAGTTGGGAACGTCACAGTCCTTTGGATCCCATTCCATCACAGAGATGTCTGTTCTCCCATAGTGTCTGACTGGGCCATCATAAATGTAATACCACAGGCAGGGAGAACTTGACATTTCAGCTTCCAGCTGAACTCCTCTTGCATGTTTAGCTACCAGATATCATCTGAATGGCAAAGGTGCGTGTTTCCATTGGGTTACATTTTGAATTTTAAGGTTTAAACACTTTTTAATGCAGATGAAAAAGTTTGTGTGAATTGTCCTGTAGGAGGAGAAGCAGGCAAAACATGAAGCCCTTGTTCACAAGACCTGTGTGCCTCTCTGAGCGGGGGAAATAACAGGACTGAAGCGGGGGTGGGGGTGGGGCTGAGTGTGGTGCAGGGGTCAGCCGACAGCAGGGAAGGAGAAGGGCCCCTGGGGTTCAGTGACAGGAGCCAGCCTGGGCTCCAAGCTGCCACAGACAGGCCAGAATTTCCACACACCCTCCGTTAGGGAAAAGAACATCTGATGGCATCAAAGGACCCGTGCAGATTGAAACCAGATGTGCTTCTCCCGGTTCTTGCCATGCATTTAATTAAGGAGCTGGGACTTGGGAGGAGGCCGTTTTATCCTGACTTCTCCTTCTCTCGCACACAAGCAGCTGTGCGGGATGGTGCCAGGGTATTTTACCATGCTGGAGACAAAAGTTCTGGAGACCAAGCAAAAGCAAGAGCCTCGCAACTCTCTTGTCTGCCAGAGTGTTCGGCAGAAGAATGTTCTTGCAGGCAGGCCCGCCCATTGAGCCCTGCGCCCTCTGACCATGCCCCTTCTTTGAAAACACCAACCCAACCCAGAAAAGTTGGAGATAAACATACTTCTGGGTATGCATGGGGTGTCTTGTCCTCGCGCCTCCACACATAGCAGTCAAACAAGAGCTTCTTTCCAGAGCAGATACAGAGCTTTCCACACAACCAGTTAAGGGCGAGTGTAGAATTTCAGAGCATGCCTGCTTGATTCCATCCAGCAAGGATCATCCTAGTTCATGCTCCTTAATTTGTAAAGGTAAAGAGACCCCTGGCCATTAGGTCCAGTCGCAGACGACTTTGGGGTTGCAGCACTCATCTCGTTTTACTGGCCAAGGGAGCCGGCGTACAGCTTCTGGGTCATGTGGCCAGCATGACTAAGCCGCTTCTGGCGAACCAGAGCAGCACATGGAAATGCTGTTTACCTTCCTGCCTGAGTGGTACCTATTTATCTACTTGCACTTTGACGTGCTTTCAAACTGCTAGGTTGGAGCTGGGACCGAGCAACAGGAGCTCACCCCGTCGTGGGGATTCGAACCGCCGACCTTCTGATCGGCAAGTCCTAGGCTCTGTGGTTTAACCCACAGCGCCACCCGCGTCCCCCTAAATTTGTATCTTCTCCTTATTGCTGGATTAGGTGGGACTTGGTATGGTCCCTGGCCCTTATTGTGTTCTTAAACATCCAAGTGCCATCAAGATCACTTAACACAGGTTCAGTCGGAGGAGAAGAGTGACTGTTCATCTGTCCAACCATTCAGGAAGTTTCTGGACTGATTCCTGTCTCTTGTCCTAAATCCAAGCCTTACCCTTCCGTCTGCAACATGGGGGTGATAATCACATTGACCAACCTGAGAGGGTTTTTGTAAGGAGTACAGCAAAATAATGCATGCTGGCGATTCAAAATTGTTATATAAAATGCTAAGCGTTTATAATCTGCCATAAGAGCCATCAATGGCTTGGGGCCAGTTTACTTTTCCACAGGCACCCCTCTTGGAATATTTTGATCTGTGGATCTATTGCTTTTATAAGTGCCACATCCTGTTGACTCTAGGTTTGCAAGGAGTTGATCTTTTAGTGTGGTAGGATACGTCCTTTGGAAGGTGCTCTCGTTACGTTTTAGATGACTGCTGAAAACTTCTTTTATTCCAGCAAGCGTACCCAGGCATTTAGTTTGCTGTATTATTATTTTTTTTTTGAAATGTTTTGCTGTTTCCATATGTGGTTTAAAGATAATTATTTGATGTATATTCGTTTTTTAAAGAGTTTTGTGGATTTCAGCTTGTATTTTATCTACAATTTTTTAATGTGCATTGCGTGAAGAACTCTTTGACTGGCTTCTAAATCTTCTAAATCTAAATCTTCTACATCTAAATAGAGAGAGCAATCCCAGGCATTTGCTATCACTTTGTACATTTCCAACCACACAGCCCCTTCACTTTGGCAACTTTCTTTTAAAGAAATTAACTACAACTTAGGCCTTCCGTGACTCGCATTCTGAGAACTGCCAGAATGTTATAAGAGGCTAGTATCTCGCACCAGCGCCCTGACAGCTCTTGTTCATTGCCATCCCTGGGTACCAAAGACACAGCAGACTCCTGGTACTCTATGCCAACCCTTACCTTTTTAAAGGTATTAGCAGGGCACTGGCACACAGTTCCATAAGCCCTTCAAAAGGATGTGTGCACATATAAACAGACAGAGGTAAACGTACAGAGAGAGGCCCGGTCTCATAAACACAGACATGACGGATGTGACTTTGCACATTACATTCAAGATAAGGATAACCATAGGTAGATCAAGGGAAACCTGGTGGTTTCTGCCACAATTGGGGGTGACTCACACATTACTGATAGCCATGCGAGAGCTTT